AAGCATAGCACAAGCTGCAGATTGTGAAGGTATTAGGAAGAAAAGGACCATCATACAGTGAGCTCTGCAGAGACTTTTGGTTAAGAAAAAAGAGGTTTGACAAGCTCCAATAATGATTCAAAGAAGAATTAATGCTTTCACTCCTCCAGCACATTCCTCCCCAGAAGGCGGTGTATTAATGCTGAAGCCTCCAAGGCTTCTTTTCAGATAAGTGACTGCAGCTAAGGAGAGGTGATTACAGAAAAATCCCATCTCCCCCTTCTTTGGTCGATGTGGAAGCTCTTCCATCACTGAGGTAATTGTTCAACCTCAGCACCAGCAGAGTGGAGGAGAAGCCTATGAAATCTGAATACGGGGCCAAAATCATTGAGTCAAAATCCCAGTTCTGTTCTTTGGGGTGCTGTGGTCAGGGATGTGCCACAGGGCAGCGAGCTCTGCCTGCAGGGGCTGGCTGATGTGGAAAAGGATAGGCAGGTGGCAGATACTGGGCAAGGAAGCTCAGCCACAGCCTGGTGGAGACAGAATCTCGTCCCCTGGGGACACACACAGCACATTTCTGAAACACTTCCCTCCTTCTGCCCATTTCTGTACTTTCTGTGCACGAAGAAACAGATTTAATTTGTCATCCCAGAGTCATCATGTATGAGGCAGATACAGTAAACTCCCCTGACTTCAGACTTTGTGCTCTAACCACAAGAACATCCATCTATGCTATGTAGGAATTAGCCAGAGCATGAGAGCAGCATGATATAATCTGTAAGAAATATTTCTAGTGATACAGAATTTTTGAAAACAGACTGTGCAAGGATACTTTTATAGAGAAATGTGATGTAATTTGGGCGTAGGCTCTGCAGAAAGACAAACACAATTAATTCTGGTGTTTTCCTGATTGCTTCCTTTTTTACTGCTGTCAGGAAGCCTGCATGAAAACATGATTTTACACCAAACATATTTGCATCTCTCCCTTTAGCAGTTACAACAGTCTGTATGCAGCATAGCAATCCGGGAACTCTGGAGGGATTTGATGGTTTCTGTCAAATTTCTATTTCCCATTTCTATTAGGAAGGATCAATTTAGCATTCAAATCAATGTGATAGTGTGATAGCATAAACCCTATAGTGGAAAAAAACATTGCAAGTAAGGTTTTATTTTTGGTTCAAGGAACAGTTATAGCAAAAGAGCCTGAAAAAGGAAGCTGATAGAAGATACAAAGATGTTAATTTCAATGACTGAAAACTAAAAGTACAAACTTGCATGGTTTTTGTGAATTCATTATATATAAAGTGAGTGATTAAACAGAATAAAAGAAACAAGAAGTAGAAATCCTACTTTAAAAATGGATGTTCTATAAGGTGTTTGCTACGAGCTTTGGGAAGCCTTTATTATACAGCTTGCAAGTGAGGAATTCCTGTAACAAAGCAGTCAGGTTTCCTTTTAAAAGGGCACTTTCAATCACTGCATAGTCATGCATGAACTTGTATTTCTTTCTGACTTGATAAATGAGAATGTATTTTAGGTAAACCTTCCCATTGGACATTTGCTGACCTTTATTCTGACTAGAATGAAAGAATGACTGCTGCTGATAGGAGCACAGGGATGGCACAGAGTTGTGCCAGTGGATGTTCAGACTAGATATAATGATTTTTTTTACACAAACGTGGTTAAACACTGGGGCAGGCTTCCTTGCGAAGTAGTTGATCTCCCACGCCTGTCAGTGTTCAAGAAGTCCTGGACAGCTCTCAGTAACGTGCTTCAACATTTGGTTAGCCCTCAAGAGGTCAGGCACTTGGAGTAGAGGATCTCTGAAGGTCTCTTTCAACTTTTTGCCACACTGCTACACTAAAAGTCCAACGTCAACTCTAACCTTTCCATTCAGGCATAACATGAATAATATATGTAAAATAAATCTCAACGTAGAGCAAATTAACCTTGAGCTTTTCCAGCCTAACTTCGTCCTGTAGTTCTACTTAAATCTGCTCAAAAGAGCAACTAAGACACAGGAACCAGTCTGCTCCAAAAACCAGAGGGAGCCTGTCCTCACCAAGCAGGTAACATCAACTGCTTCTAAGGGCACGCCAGTATCATACCATTGTGCCACATCCCTGTCCTCCAACATTTTCTTAGGATAATTTGCAAAGGGAGGCCAACTGCAGAATATACTACAGCAGGTTAAGTTCAGAGCACGAGGTGCTGAACTGTACCATGGCTGTGTCCTGTTGTGTGTCATTCTTCCAGCACACCTCACTGAATCCTACTGAAAACTGCCACCGCAGCCGTACTTGCTGCTAGCTTCCAAACCCATCTGGTAGCAGGTTTTAATCTTATCCCTACACGATACCATGTGAATTAGCCAAGTACTTTGCTAATTTTACTGTTCTTAAGTACTATTAATAAATCTATTAGCAGAGACCCTGATGTGGAATTACAGATAACGTGGCTTGCCAGTGACTTCCCATGTCCCATCACAGGAGTACCTGAACTAACCAGTAAAACAGCTCGGTTACAACACTGGACCAGGTCACTAAGAGATTTCCTGCAGCTGTTAGCTGGCACAGTTCCCACTAGGCAGTATTTTAACTCTTTTGGCACGCGCTTCTGAGGCAAGCAACAGCCAAAGCACTGCTTATCTTTCTGGCGAGTGGACCTCTTTGGAGAACAGCAGCTTCTGATATAGCCTGAGAAAATGAATCTAATTGTCTTTCAGCAAACTTCAAAGACTATCAGTCCACTTTTGCTGAGGATGAGATTTAGATATGGCATCTAAACAAGAAAGCCAGGTGCAGGTAATAGAGAAGGCCAACAGTTTTACCAGTGGCGAGACTAAGATTTAAAAGCTTCTGATTCCCCTAACAATCTTATTTTTAATGAACAAAAGAAAAAAAAAGAGTAAATGTAAAAGCTGCAGAGAAGAGATGCTCGGTTCCAAAGGTTTAGATAAACTGCACCACACAGAATCAGATACTCATTTCAGTGCAATGCAATTAAAAGTACAGATGAACTCATGAAAGCCAGTACCAGATATTTTAGCCTCTAAAACATCCAGAAGGAATTAAGTGAAACTCAGTTTAGAAATGATGGCTAATGCCTGAAGAATGCCCATTGTCCAAGCTGCTAAAAGAAGTATGGGACTTTCCATTTTGGGGCCAAGCTGGAAGTTTCGTAGCCAAACACAGCTTATGCCCTTAGCTAAAAGTCAAACAGGATATACAGGGAGGTCAAACCAGATCCATTTATACCTTCTACCCTTAAGTCCCAAGGGAGAAGCAGCTTTCCTCCTGCTTCCTCGGTCCTTAAGGAAAACAAGTCTCTTAATCTATTTAGAGGCCCTTCTTGACATTCTTTGGCTGTAGTTTTTCTCAATCGACGTAATCTTTTCCCATCAAGCTCCATGCTAATCCCATTTTGCTCCACTCCTTCAACTAATAAAAGATTAGAGTGACATTTCAGAAAGGGCATCGTATTAAGCAGCTACTTTCCCATCTCAACAGATCACACAGTACAAAATGCAGTGAACAGGCCATTAATCTTATGTTAATGAGGTGTCAGCCTGAATGGAGACCTCCTCCTTGATCAATAAGAAGGGCACAGCAATAATGAGGACGCTGCCACTTGCCATCTCTGGGAGCTTCACCACAAGGCAGCAGATCTGTAAGGCGTCGCTGATGGTGGCAACAGCTCTTGTCACCACAACACTCTGCCCGTGACAACAGAGAGCAAGCATCCATGCTGGTCTGTCACCTCGTGTGCTGCCCACACACAATAAGCTTTTCTATGTTCTAATTAGTGGTGTAAAACTGTTTAACAACTTTGGCTTTGCTCTAACATGAAATCAATTAGGATTAGCAGCCACGCATAGGGAAATTTCTCATACCTGCCCAGCCAGTCAAAGTCACTAAGAAAACACTTTCTCCATTCCTACAGTGGACAAGCCATCGTTCTTTCTGATGACATTCCTGCATGAGGATTATCCAACATGCTATTATAAAGAATTGTCTTGTTTTCTTAAATATATCACTGCTCTCCTTAAAGAAAACTCTGCACAGCTACCATGCTTGGGTGGACTGAAGCTTTATCGAGGGCTGAGAAAACTTTTCAGTAGAAGTACAGGGCAAATCATGGTCAGTCTTAGTGCTATCCACTACTCACTTTAACAGAATGGTCTTCTCTAGAGAGAGGATCAGGCTAAGAAATCCACCTCTTCTGCATGCACACTGCAAAGGAACTGCAGTGAACCTAAATGGGCTCTGTGTGGACACAACCACTTGTTTTCACAGAATAAACTGGAGCATCGCAGCTAAAAATAATCAGAAGACAGTTAACCTAGGGAGAAGTCTGCTGAAAAATACACTGGAAGACACGAGTAGCATGCTTCTGTTTCCCTTGGTGCGTGGGTTTTGCTTTTACATTTGTCTTTTTTTTTTTCTCATGATTAAAAAATAAAAACTGTGGATTTGGTATCCCCAGAAGTCAAGTGTCTGAGGGGGGAACGCTCTATAATCTAGCTATATAACTTGTGTTCTCTCATGGTTTGCACTGTTACTACTGATACAGTTAAGAGATCTTCTAAAAACATTTCCTTGTAAAGGAATTCAGCTCTTCTCCTATTTTGAAATGCTCCCATCCTGCCCTTGCATAGTTACTGTTCTGTCCCAGTACAGAAAGTTAATGCTCAATATCAGTGTCAGAGAAAGAGATTACGTGCAACTATTTCAAGAAAAACATTCATCAGATACTAAATCCATACAATAAATGAGAAATCACAGCAATTTTCTGCATTTGCCATCGGACACGATATCATCGGCATTACCTACAAATGACCATTTGTAACCATGCAGCCTCCAACTAAGGCTTTATTCTGACTTTCATACCTATTTGCATACATCAAAGAGATGCACTGATGTAAAATAAAGGATTCTTTTTTCATGCTTACTTTTTAGAAAAATCCTGCCTTTCCATCTTTTTTCAGAAATAAACTGTTTTGGAAAAGCTTAGATTCTTACCTATACACTGTGGTAGGTGGAGAATTTAGTGTGTCATAGATGAGTCTCACATGTCCTTGGTACAACTCCAGAGCCAAAGGATCATTGTCTCCTTTGTATAACAAGATGCCATTGTCCTTGTCTGTTGCTACCTGCATAACATTAATAACCAGGTAAGGTTTCTTGAGAAGGATTAAAATGGAAACAATAAACCTTTATTAACAATTGCAACTAAATCATATATGCAATTCAAATGTGATTTAATAGAGCATATATATGAGGAACAATGAAAGCAAGAACCATGAAACACAGAAAGGTCTTGGTGACAATGAGTGAGTTCCTACACAAACATGTTGGATGGCTCCCTTGTCCCAAATGAGCAAGAGTTTTCCAGTGAAAGCTGCAATATATGTGAACCCTGCTGATGGACCGTAGCTGTATTTTTGGTGGTACACGAATGAATGCATTTCTCAATAAAATGGTATTTTAGAAAATCACCTTCGATTTGCAACGAATTTCAGCAAGATCACATACTTTCTATGAATATGAAGAAGGTCAATTCAAGTTATTAGCAAGTCCTGCTGCATTCAAATGGGAAATTTTGAGTCAGGAGAGAACAGAGCAGCCTTCAGCTGTCGCGCTTTGTGGATGCAGATATGTTATTTCTCAGAAACCAGCAACAGATACTCTGCATGACATACCTGGAGGGAAATGTTTGCCTGGGGGCGAATTTTGGCTGATGGCAACTCCACATAGGAATCCTTCCCAACAAAGTTCACCGTGATGAGCTTCTCACACTTCTGCCCAGCGAAGCCAGCAAGACAGCGGCAGACGGGCTCCTGGTGCGCGACGATGCACTGCGCCCCGTTCTGGCACTCATAGTTATCACATGGGCTGGTCTGGAGCAGAACCATCGGTGGAGGAGTTTCACAGAAAAGTCCACTGTAGAAAGTTAAGTGAAGAAAAAGCAGCCTCATTTATCCCAACTTTTTGTATGGAAGAAAGCATTTTCAGATGCTGACATTACAATACTACTGTGGTACAATGACTCCAAGATTCAGCTACCATGTGCCAGCTTTACTGTGTGAGAGCTGTACAACATCACGCTGTACAGAAACCCCCATGCTGGGTTTGTATGAGCCAATTCAAATACTGAAAACAATTCGTTCTGCACTTTGCACTGGTTATCTAGCTCTGCAAGGTACAGCAGTCTGTCTCAAATAGCTTCCATACCACACTGCGCTGTGCAGATGTTCCCACAAAAACAGTCATTTAAACCCAAACCTGAGCTCAGCCCACCTGCTCTCCCTGCTCTACAAAATGTGCAGCCAAAAATCCCTGTCTTAGGCTTTGTGACTTGAATCTATCGCTGGTGTTGTAAGTGGCACACAAAGGGAAATCCTCTATTTGTAGCGTCTCGTACAGTCTCCTCACTTGCTTTACTGCATACCAGAGAGCACAAAATCAACAGATGGGCAATGGCTAAAAATTCTCAGAGGCACCAATACTGTGCTGTTCTCTGGGCAGTTTCCCAGCAATGGCTGTTTCTGACAGCGGTGGGATTATTAACTTTATTTTAGCTGAGTTTGTGGTTGGCTGCATCGCAGACCAGAAAAATGAAAAGGAAAGGACCTCCCAGAGTCGGAGGCAGGAAAGCCAAGTGCCCAGTCTGAGAACTTGTGAACACAAGATGAATTGAGAGCTGGAGGAAAGTGCTATGGTTTGGTCTTAATGATACAAGAGGCTGTACCATTACGATACAAGCCAAACCCACATATAGTAGCTCCTGAGCTCCAAGGCTCCCAGGAGCAGCACTGGCTCAGTCCCCAGGCAGCGCACTTCACAGGTTATTTGCTTTCTACGATAGACTGGAATGACTCAACTGCAGTTAAATATTGACATCAGCCTAGGAGAGAAAAAGGGAAAAAATGTAAAAAGCTGCAGTCATCTTTCACAGTGATATCATGTGTCACACTGAACTGCAAAAAGCAATGGGGAACCTCTGCCTGGTACAACCACCGGGCTGCACAGCCTGCAGGCCCTGCACACACCCCGCACTCGTGGGGCACCCCGACATTTCTCCTTAAAAAGGCGCCTTCCAAACCCAACAAATCCATTTTGTATTGTTGAGAGAACATAAAATCTTCACATTGAATTCTGTGACTGCTTGAAAATGTGCAGACAACAAAATGATGAAAAATCGCTGCCTGGGGAGCAGGGAGAGCGCGTCAGGCGGTGCTGGGGAGCGGCGCGGGGTGGCTGTGGGCTCCGGCTCTCCACGCTCCTTAGTACTGGGACAGGCAGCTTTCCAGGAGAGGATTGTGGCAGACACATTCCTGCAGTGAATAACCCCTCAGCTCAGACTTGGAGCACTGAAATCCCACTTGTCCCACTAGGAATTTCCTGCCATTCAAGGGAGCACTTTGTGGAATAATAGCACTCTTAGAAAAACAAAGCAGAAGGTGCCAAAAACCTCACTTCTCTCCAGTAAAGCAGGTGAGATGTGGAAGCTTGGTGAATTTCTAACAGAAACCTAAACCATAATCCCACAGTACATAGTACCCAGTACTAGATGTGCAAGAACAGCAAATAAAACAGCAATCTTGCTCAGCCATAGGGACCTGCTGCTTCTGAAACAGAAAGAATTGGAGATGGCTGCTTTCCTTTTCATATCTTCTGATGTAAGTTTTGCAGAGTACCATGGCCCTATCCAAAGAACTGTTGTCATGGCATCCAACCCTCTCCTGGCCCCTATTCTCACAACCCATGCTGCCCTCTGGTCTGCCTCTAAGTAACTCTCTTTGTATCATACACAAGAAAGAGAAATGCACAATGAAATACAGATGGAATAAACTCTGAACTGCACCAAAACCAGTGCAGTTGCTCTGCCTATCCCCTGCCTGGGTGACGCTTGGAGCTGTGAGTGGGCTCAGTCACAAACTGCTAATGCTTTCAGCAAAGAACTGGGGGGGAAAAACCAAACACAACACCAAACCACAGCCAGCAGTAAATATCCTCTATCAGGAAAGCATATTCTTGCATAGAGACAAGCCAATCTATTAATCTAGACAACTTATCTCAGAAGGGTAATTTGGCAGGCAAGACTGTTGGCAATCAATAAACCCCATTCTCTTTGCTCCGAGGAGTATTTGGAGAGGTATAGGGGTCAGTACAGAGTTCAGCATGCTGCAGGGAGCAGTGGAAATGGGAACAGGAAAGGCAGTATGGTTTGGGAGAATAACTGCATATGAGAAATGGTCTCTTTGCTTCATCCGATACGATTCTCAAAGCAAATTTGTTCTTGGGAACATTACTTTCTGAACACACCTAAACTACAAACTAGCCGCAAACTAAGAGACATTCCCTTCCTGATGGTGTGCTGCTGCAGCTTGGCAGAGCCACACAGGCCTCCTGCTCCTGGAGGGCAGCACTGTGCTGCAGGGTGTGACACGACCCACCAAGATGTGGCTTGGATCCCTCTTTCCAAGAAAATAAGAGAACATGAAAAAACAGCAACAACCTCAGGGGAAGACAGATAGACAGAAAGCAATTCCTGCCAATTTAAGCTAGTTACAACAGTGGTTGCCTACCAGCCTGGCAGCCAGACCCACCCAGAGCTGATGATCATAGTGCTCAGAGCATCAGTGCTCCATCCACATTGCCAGCCAGCCATGCAGGTGGGCTGAGTGGAGCACTTCCCTGCCTGAAGCCTGGTTTCATTAAGTGTGTGATGTCCTTCCCCAGCACAGAGCTTTGCAACGAGATGGCCAACATGTCAGAGGTCTGACAATGGGAACAAACAAGGGCTGACCCCACAGATGACTGCCACCACTGACCTGATGTCAAGTGTAATTTGTTCTACAGACGACTAGCTGAAAGGAGCCCTGCTAAGCCAGCCCATTAAGTTTGCTCTACCTAACGCCAATCACTTTGTTTTGTCTGTGAGAGACAACTAGAAAGCAGAAGGAAAGACAGTGTTTATAACTGATTTCATGGAAGTTAAAAATAATAATAATGAAAAATACATGCAGCCAGCAACAGCCCCCACTAACAGAAAGCAAATGTTGCAAGAAGCCAGCATGTCTGTGCTTGGTGCTGCTCTGAAAGATTTCCCAGACTTCCCATATAGCTCTTCTGCAGCCTTTCCTTGCCCTGAAACCCTTTCAGCGGGTGGCTCCACAAGTGTGGCTGTCCTGCTGCTGGGATCCAGACATTACATTTGCAACAAGTGAACAAGTGTCTGTCAAGGCCTTTTCTATTTTAAATATTAAAAATAGTTTTATAAATTATTAATATGACTTATTTCTGTAGCAGAGGAATCTGGAGCGCAGTTTCACTGGCATAGCTTGGCCAGCACCCCCCTGCCTGGTACCATCTCTTTTATTTAAATAATCACAGTTGAGTTTCTTGCAGCAAACTGTCCCAGTGGGGAACTCAGGAGCATTTACACAATGGAGGAACAGTTCTCTATATCAAGCTCAGCAGCATTAGCATGGGATCCCCTACCACTGCAACATTTATCAGGACAGCATTACTGTGAGGCCGATTGCTAGAGGGAAGCTTTGATAAGTCAGCTTTTATCCAATGGGTTCACAAATTCTTGAACGTGTTTTCATCTATGGGAGGTAAACAAATTGTACAGGAAACAGAAAACTTCGCAGGAAGAAAATGTATTATATAATTGCAAAAGGTTGCTGAGTGATAGGGTATGGGGCATAGCTACAAATGAACAGTGAATAGCAAATGCCAAAATGGAAAAGCAGGTGTGTGCATGTTGGTTCTCCTGCTTTTGGGGCTGTAATTAGAGGTGTATAACTGTGCATATGAAGCGCTCCACTGCTAAGGATTACCAGAGAGTGCCATTTGTTCAGCTGTATGAGGATGTTAAGTTTTTAACAATCTGCAAGTGGCTTTGATGTACAGCATAGCAACAACCATAAAATTGCTAGAGGTCTATGCATTTATGGCAATAGCATAAGCTCCAGATAACTGGGAGGAGGTCACTCTGTAAGCTCACTGCTGGGAAATGACTCTTGAAGTTTAGCCAACCAACTTTATTCATCATAACCATGGGTCTCCTAGTTCCCTTCTGCAGACCACCCTCTGGTGTTCTCTCCTCACTAACACTTGTGGTGTTGCAAAGTTATCTCCTTGCTGCACAGCACAGCACCTGAGGCACATTGTGAACAGCCAAATCTGTAACCCCGAGCCATCCCAAGTCTGAACTCTGTCAATCACCAGCTTTGCAATTGCAATCTTGAAAGGAAAAAAACATCAGAAACCCTTTCAGAGCAGCAGGCCTTCAAAGCACAAAAGGCCAGAGTCATGGGAAGAATAATGAGCAGATCATATTTTGCTAGCAGAATTTTAAACACGAAATCAAACAAGAGCAGGAACTGTTCTGCATGGGAACTCTAGGGGCTTCAGCATGTTCTCTGCCTAGACAGACACATTCTGTTACTGCCCACTGTGACGCTTTCTTCATAAAACACCCTCGACTCCCCTGTGTCTTGCATGGGAAATTTAGAGAGATGCCATGGAGGGGTGTCACAAAAGGAAAGCAAACACGACACCTCAAGTCATTCCTGGCTCTGCAGTTGTAAGGCAGTGGGGTTATCTTTCTCGCACAAGTCTGCCCTGGGCTATGAGGCACTGTCTAAGGAAGTAGAGGAGTTTAGAAGCTTTGTGGAGAAAGATGTTGCTGCTTCTTGAAGTACTTCAGTGGAATGAAAACTCCTCACGTGAGAGAGTTGGGTTGCTCCAGATCCTGCCCCTGAAGTCCCTGCTGTGAGAACAGCCAACCCGAGCTGCCAGAAGAGCCACCTGGGATGCAGGAATGACCCAGACCAGACTCCCACCTATCCCTACTGTTCAGCTCAACTCCGTCCTGACTTAATACACCTCTATCAAACACTGTGATACTGTCTTACCCCCCCAAAATCCGAACACCTCTTGTTCATCACTGCCTAGAACTGACATGCCAGGGCACCTGCAGCTGAGGTCTCCCAGTCACTGCTGTCTGAGGACAAGAGTGAGCTACCCTTGACTCCTGATACAGTTTAGCAATCACATTTCTCAGCTCTCTTAACAATTAGAAACACTGAACATTTACAATTCCATTGTGGGATAGCCTTTTGTTATCCTCGCCAGTCACCAACTTGCAAGATCCCCAAGGCCATCAAAGCAGATGAAACGTACTGAAAAAGATATGAACTTGAAATTAAGAGGATTTCTGGTATCCTATAAATAATAAGTCTGATTCTATGTAACCATGGGTTGACAGCATGTTACATATCAGTACCTATTCAGAAAAGTCTGTCTATTTTGCAATAAAAATGTTTGTTAATAAGGGAAAAAACACCCAGAGAGGATGAAAGCAAGAAGAACGAGGACAGTTGCAGATACAAGGCAGTGTAAAGGATTTATAAGTGTTCACGTAATTTCGACTTTGTCAAGACTGATCTTTTCAGGTATTCCTCTTTGTCTCATGTGTGTATTTCAAACACAGGAAAAGTTTAGCTGGAAGGAAAGCAGTATCCAGCCTCAGGCAATGATTAGTGAATCCATTTGGAGCAGCACACTTATCTTTGACAGACAGTGAGATTTCCAGGAGTCAGATTTATTGGCAGCTGTCAGAGACTGGAAATTTACAGCCCAAATCGTACTGAGCCTGTCCTCCAGCAGGCACAGAGATACTGGCACAACATCTTCAGAATCTTATTTTCTCCCAGCCTGGTCTGAGGGTTCATATATATAATTTTATTATCCTTTGCTCTCTTTCACATGTGCAAAACTTATCTCCATATCATTTATGTGATTGCATTACCTACTGCTTTACCAGGAAAGGCTGGGGCAGGCAGGCAGGCAAATTGACACAGCACTGCACAAAAGGCAAACTGCTGTTTGCAAAGCAAATGCTGCCTATTCAGTTAACTCCTTACGATCTATTTCAGCTACAAGACAGGAAGCACCGGGTTATCTATTCACATACGAATGACACATCAATACCAAATGTAGAGGCTGATTAGCTCTGAGGATGAAGGCAATTAAAGAAAGCGCCTCAACACCATGTACAGAAGACAGATAGTGTGGAGGAGGAGGTGCCTCTCACGTACCTGAAGCCCTGAGGACAGACGCAGGTGTAGCCATTGACTGCATCTACGCAGACAGCTCCATGGCGACACTTATGGCCCACACAGTCATCATCATCTATTTCACAGTGTTTGCCACTGTAACCAGGCAAGCACTCGCATCTGCAATACAAGAAGATTGCTGTTAATAGCTTGTTTCAACATTCACAACAGCAGCACACACAGGCAACAGAGCACCAATCTGATTTGAGACAGAAAGGTGTTAGCTATTATTCCTGGAAGCATCCAGCACAATTCCTGCCATCAGAAACGCTCAGGTGCCTCCCATCTGTCTGCATTTGAGGTTCTGCAATCTGCTTATGTTCCAGCCAAGCAAAGCAATACCATACTACTGTTTTTTTTCTCAGCCAAGTCTGTGGAGAAGGGTGATGGGATAGTGGTCTCCCCATGGTGTTAAAGATGACAACAATTCCCCTAACCTTACAGACTCTATATTCTGCAAGGGCAGTTGCTCGGATGTCTCTGACGATGTGAGACTGCAAAACAATTCTGCCTATTTCCACGCTGCTCTTTGAGATTGGCTCTGTGCAACTACATAGAGTACAGTAAGCTTCCATCTCCCAAATGGAAGCAATCTGCAAGCAAACCATAAAACTCAGCAAATGCAAAGAAAAAGACCATCAGTTGTGAGCTCTCCACTTGTCCATCATCCATCTGCATGGATGTAAATGTTACTTCAGCTGGTGAAAGTTACCTCTGAAATGTTCTCTTTACAATGGGGATGCTCAGACCAGGCACACACCTGCCCCTTGTGGGGCAATGCCATTCTCAAAAGCATTACCTTTAGATCAGGTTTGTTATATGAAGGTCATGTCACTATTTCCGTTATAAGCCTTGCAGATATTTACAACTTGACAATAGGAAATACATCCCAAAGTCTCTGAGTTGGAACAGACTTTTTGGGATAGCTGAACAGCCTCTTTTTGAGTCTATGGTGTAGACAGTGTTTAGTTATGAACACGTTTTAGTTCACAAAGCACATTTCACTACCCCCAGCTGGATTCTGCTGCACATCTGGAAAACAAAAGGCATATCACTCAAACCAAAACAAGGGAAGAGCTGCACTTCAGCAATAAAAAAGAGGTCTGTGCTCTTGCCAGAGCCCCTCGTTTAGATCTGTGAGCTTGTCACAGTGAGCTGGAAGAGCTCACATAAATCATAAAGTCAAGGGAGGTGGCATCAGCAGAGATACCACTGTGCCAGTGATCTATTCTGCTGCCCTTCTGCACCTCCTGCCTGCTGGCAGCCTGGCAGGGTGGGCACAGGTGGAAGCTCCTTGTGGGAAACCTCTCCAGAGGAACTGGGCACCTGGTAGCTGTCAAGGAAAAAGATACTTCCCCTTTCCTGGCAACAGTCATTGTGTGGAAGTTGGTTCTGAGTGGTGTGTTCTGGCTGCCAGCCACTCCCCAGCTCATCCAGGCAAGGCAGTGAGTTATCTCTGTGTGGGGCAATGACTGATGAACAGCTGCCACAGCTCCAGCACTGAGAAGAATGTGACCCCCAGACTCCATTTTGTTCATAATGACTGGCTAAAAAATGACTAAAGAAGGCAGAGCCTGTCAACCTGTGGGCTATAGAGGGCTAAAGCTATGTAGATGCACAGGCTTTCCTTTTCCATCCTTCCTCTGGGAAAGGCCCCCACCATGACCCTCTGCAGACACAGGATGGTTGATGTTCCAGCTCTGTCTGAATCGCCTTTTTGCACCTTGGTGGCTCAGGGAATACTGTGATTAACATAAAGGAGATGACAGTACAGAGGAAAAAGTAAAAAGTGTGATTTCTCCAAACTAAAAGAAGTGTGCAGCACTTTTTGGCGATTTCAGTCACACCTGCAAGCAAACAATGTCAATCAAAAGACTTTGGGTGGAAGGGGGTGAATTGGCAGCATTTAATCCTGTTGCTTTTTATTGATCCCTGCAGTCCTAATATAAAGTGATGTAATAATGAATGATGTGCAGTGCCTTATTCAGGGCTGCCATGCATCAATTTTATGATGTGTATTGGCTATCTCAGTAATGACAGAACCACCACTTTTCTCTGCAGGGCTGCATTAAATCAGCATTTTAAGCTGTCAGGTAATAATTCCAAGCTTTAGAAAAATAAAGTATATTTATACCATGCTCCAACATCACTATAGGGAACGGAAAAACACGCTCCTTTCTTGAAGTTATTTTTTTGAAGTCTTTTCATTGTGTTAAATGTTTTGTGGTTGTTTGTTTTTTTTTTCATCTGGCATACAGAAAGCTCCTCCTTCTCTCTGGTAACAGCACAGTAAATATGTGAAGGTTGGAAGTGAGGAAATCCACCTATAATCTTAGCTTAAAAAGCAAAGAGTTCTGTGCAGCTGAACACACTGGAATAGTCCAGTTTGCTTCCAAACCTGGCTTTCCCTTTAGAAACATGAAATCTCTTTTGGGTCCATCATCTCTGAGCTCTTAGGGTGCTATCTGGGCTGAAGCTACCAAAAATGCATGCATGGCATCTGGCAGAGAGAAGCAGCCATGGAGCACCTCACCCAGCATCCTTCTAGGAACTCAAAGTCTTGTCCTCGGAGAACGACGGCAACTTGGTGCCAGCCCTCTCCCACACAGCACTAGAAGTGTCTGTGTATCAGTAAAAGTACGATGCAGTAAAGATGAAGGCAAATAAATGTTCATGCTGAAGTCCTGCTAAGAGGGCAATCTACATGATTAGACTGTTTATCTCATTTCTCAGCGACCATCCGACATCAGAACAACTGAAAACCTGTTTTCTGCTACAGCCTTGCAGTGATGGCAACATTCCCAGTATCCGAGAGTCTAAAAACATGTCTTGTGGTGTTCAAAATGTTGGCCTATCCAGGGGGATTTGCATCTGCATGCACTCAATGTCTATTGTATTAAAGTGGTGATTCATAGCTTCTATTGCAAGGCCACAATGGAATTTTCCTCCCCATATGAATATATAACTTGGCTTCCTATTTTTTCTCACTTTATCATCTTTTCCTCGCTCTGTAGACTTGCAGGCTGACTAGAGCTGAACAGAGGACAGACAGGCAGCCTGGAGTCTCCGCCGCCGTGACATCCTTCATTGGTGTGTGCCACTGCATGCCCAGGGCACAGACTGCCCACTGGATGCTCAGGGACAAGCTGAACCCACCATTAACCTTCCTGCCCTGTCAGCAGAGCAGAAGACTGACGCATGAGCCTGACTCATTCTGCATGCACTTTCACACTGCCCCATTACACTCTAAATATATAGCACATCATGGGTCAGGGGATCAAACTGCTCAAGGAATCAGTGTCAGTACAGCAACAAAGCTTGTTGTTCTGAATGAGACCCAACAGCAGCCACACATTGCTGCAACAGCTGCTGAATGGTTTGGTGCAACTAAGGCATGCAAAAAAAAAGCAGCACTGGGATAAATCTGCTTGCAAGGCTGGAAGGGCTCCCTTGCTTTTCAAGTCTGGCTTGTGAGAAAGCAAAATGGGGCCAAACAAGCAAAGAAATTCTGTTTAGCATTCCCTGAACAGTAGGAAGAATAACTCAACAATAGTGGGAAGAAAAACACAACAAACAGTAGTAGAAAATACTTATGAGCATGATTATTTAGGCTTCTCCCAAAAGCTAAGGGCCCTGCTGTGAAGGACACTTCTTTAGCGAGCAAGCAAGCAAAAGTATCTTATTTCCTCAAAGCATTTGAGTGGCAAGTACAAAAATACTTTCACTAAGGGTAAACCATTCAAGACCACAATTATTTCCATCCTTACATATATCCAGTGATAGAAGGAAATCTGAGTTAAAAGCCTTTACCCTTAGCATGCTTTAGCTACTCTGCATTAGTTAGGTATGGAAGAAAAAATGCTATGGACTATCTGTGTATCAGCACACAACAACTCTTCCAGTCTCTGTGTATCATTTCAGGAGCTGTCCTAATCATTTGACAGTTCCATCTTCCCTGAGAGTTGGAACCATTTCTATCTGGATACTTTTCATCTGAAAGCAAGGCTTGAGCTGTACGGACTGACTGTCTAGCACAGATTCAGCTACCCTTCAGACAGTCAGCACCACTGATTTTTTTTTTTTTTTTTCACTTTCTTTTCCCTATTCTGAAATGCTCTGTGTTTGTCTTAGCGTCCATTATTCTGACACGCTGCTTCACAGGGTTTAGTCTGACCAAAGCTGCAGGTTACCAGGAAGCCCAGAGAGCTACTACTGCCCCTCCCCAGACATATAGGGTGTGCTAGGTGAAGGCGTCCCTTGCCAAAACTCCAGTCTTTCCTCCCAGAGGGAAATGGAGAGTCTCTAGGACAGCACTGTGGCTGTGAAAACAGCCTTAGAGGAAAGTGCAGAACACAGCTCATAGCTGCACTAAGACCTCTTGAATTTGTTCTCCTTTCTTACTGCTTTGATTCAAAAATCTTTCCTCCACAAGCTTTCCATACAGAGACAGACAACTGAAAAGTCTAGCTATTTGCTAAATTGTTCTGAAATCTTTCTTCAGAGAAGTGATGAATGCTGCTACCATGTACCTCTCAAAACAGCCCAAACCAGGAATCGCCAGGTGTTTCACTGTCATTTAAAATGGTGAAGCAGTCAGTATCATTCCCAATACTCAAAGCCTACAGATCTACCCAGTGCGTGCTGACCAATGTGTACACATGCTCACCTGGATCCTTTGTCAAGTGGAACACATTTGGACTCATGTTGGCATGGATTTAGCTCAGGAATGCAGTGGTTAATCACCTCATCACACAGTTCACCTACGGCAAAAGAAAAGCAATAAAGCTGTAACACGATTTGGACAATCCTGAAGAGCTTCAATCGTGATGTTCAGTGATGGCAGATCTCCCTAAATGGAGACAGCTCAGTAGTTCAGCAGGGAGTGACAACACTGCATGTGAGATCCTGTGAGACTTCATTAAATTGGGTTCTTTTGACCTACAATGACTGTACTGATTATATCATACAAATCTGAAAGATTGGTATAAAAAGCACTGACATGAAAACCCCACTTGGAGACAGGCTAATGATTGAATGGTCAGTTCTTGACCTCCTGCATCAAAGGAAGAAAGTGACACAAGAACGAAGTTACTCATTAGACTGTGACATTTTCACACCAAAGCATACAAGCCACAGTCACTACTCTGCCAAAGAGGCTGATGAGACATCATTCTGGAAAAGAAAGACAACTCACAAACCCTCCCCCAAATCTCTGTGACTCTCAATAATAGGAACCAGCTTTACGACTGCACATAATTACAAAACATTCACTATTTATAAGAAAAGCACTAGCTCTATTGTGCTCACAGGAGATGATGTCTTTTTAGAAAAAAAAACACACATGTAAGCTCAGCTCAGCTGTTTCTAAGTATTGTGTGTTACACGCCAGGCACCTCCCTGGATTTGTTTAAATTTTAATAATTAATAGAACGCTCAAAAACAGATAGTTTATTTAAACACCCCTTCTCTCAGTCCTAAATTATTAGGTCACACTTCAGTACCCCAGGATTTGAGATCCAGCCAAAGAAATGTTTGGCTTCCCAAGAAACCAACAGAAACATGCCCGTCATCTCCCAAAGCTTTTCAGGAGAAGCAAAGGTCAGGTACTCTCAACACGAAAACCCTTAAAACTATAGTCCCAAAGTCCCCCGTGCAGCTATATCAGAAGACCACATCTGTGGGGTTTCAAGGTTATGCATATTTTGCGTGCCTGTACATGATACGTGTCATTGTATGAGCAATGGGTCGTGTGGATAGTGTGGGAAAAAAGATACCATGTGTGGCACTGGTGAGCTGGCAACGTTTCAGCAGTACTGTCAGTAAGCTGCAGGTCTATCTGTCTTGGAATAATCTCGATTTTCAATAATAATTGCATTTCTAAATGTAGTGGCTACGGAGAAATACATGAAAGTACAACCCAAGAGAACCATGTATATAAAAATTCAGATGGAAAATGCAAATCAGAACCACCTTTTATCAGTCTTGTGATCTGGCAGGGATAACTGGGAGTACAATTTTGAGGACTCTGGTAGTGGCAGATATGAGTTAAGCTGTTAACAGCCTCAGCTCCCCCCCTTCAAGCTATTTCTCCCACACATCCAGCCTCCATACACTACAACACTACAACATTGGTACGCAAGACTTCATTCGGCTCTTCATATGAGAATGGAAGAACAATGAAATTTGCAAAGATGACTCAAAAACTTTAATTTCAAACAAGGAACATGTATCTGCTTTTGAGAGCTGTCAAGCAACAATGAACAAAGGGAACAGGAACACAAGTCCTGAAGACAGAAGGGGCGACTACCAATGTAACCACTGCATTCATGTGCTGTATGTACCCTCATGACTTTTAGTGGGTTAGGTTGGGCAACACTGGAGGAGTATAACATGGCAATCCTCAGTAGGCAGAGTTTGTTGTTTGTACAGACTTTCCATTCCATTTGGAGCCAGGGAATCCCAAGAAACCACTATTTATTAAACGCTATCAAGTCTTTTAACAGCCGTGGACAAAACTTGAGCAAATGTCATCACTGCATTCAGCTCAGGGAAGGGACGTGCCAATAGGATTGAATACTGTGAGTCCATGGGAACCAGGGAAACAGTTCATTCCCTGGACTTGAGGTTTGCCACTGTACTTTGTTACTCCTCAAAAGCAAGTAGGGATGTTCAGTTGTTACCGATAGGAACGTTGCCTCCACTGAGGACAGTCATTAACACATTTTTGAGGCAGGAAGACTGGAGATAGGTCTGTTTACTTAGCAATCCCAAAACTCACAGCCCACAAGCTCTCCCAAATATTAAGAGCCAAAGTGACTGCCTCTGCCCTTGGGCAGACACGAACACGAGCTGGTCAGAACTTGCTGCAATGTCTGGAGAATTGCCAGTTTGTCTTCTTAGTATATCTCACGTCCCTTAGCAGTGCACTGCAAATCTTATGCGAAAATAAACATGAATAAAGTGTAACTGGCTGGTGACATTAAAAGAATGCAATGATCTAAAGCAGCAAATATTTTCTGAAGGCCATTTATTAACTGAACACAGTGTGGACAGATGCCTTCAACCATCCTTTTGCTGAAAATCTTCAGTACAGACTGTTCACATTTCTATTTCTCTCTTTGCTTTGAAGAAGAGGAAATGGGCTTTTAAAAAAAAAAATAAGAACTGTTTCATAAACTCTCAAAGGAAATAATAATTCTTCTTAAAGTATTCTTCTCAACAGTCTTGACAAGTGCTTAGAGATCCAGTAAAAATCTCCCCAAATGTCAAACATTATGACTCACTGTGTCATTCTGAAGGCTCCACTATCACAATTTAGGAGACTTCCAGGCTTGGTACCAAACACTGCATCCAAAAAATTTATCAGTGTTCATGCAAAACTTGGAAAGTTTAAGGACTCTTCCTGTTATTTTTCCCATCTATCACTCATTAAGGAGCTCACTTGGGAATGCCTTGCAACTAGAGCAGCATCATCTCAGGAAGAGAATTCTACATACATTATTTCAGACTCCAACAAAGTTCACTGGATGTTGCAAAAAACATGCCAAGGAAATAAAGCACTTTCTGAAAGCAAAATCCAAGGCACCAGCTACACAAAAACGTTCTTCTATTTCACTCGCTCAGAAAATAACTGGGCCAAAAAATCTGCCATCAGACCTGAGAGTGCAATATTCACTGGCCACTTCAATGCCAGCATCAGAGGAAAAATCTGATCCACTCCCTTTGTTGGAGTGACACAGGACTGTTTCTCTGTGAAAAAATTAAAGGTGTAGTCCAAGTTTCTCTCCGAATAGCTACGTGAGTCTGAAAGTGAACTGGACAATAATGATAGGCAAAATTCTAGCAGCATTAATTCTATTTGTGGAAGGCCTTTGACAATGCTAAAACATCAGAAACTTCAGCATAATCCTTTCCTAAATGTGGTAAATCTTTCCATCTTCCTCTGTTCTCTGTATCCTCAAATCAGACCTCCAATCTGAGCGGATGAAGGAAGTAGTGTGATCTGCCACAAACATGCAACTTTCAGATTAGAACCAAATAGTACTGACAGGAGGAGCACTGACAGGTGGATCTGCTATTGCTGTCACTCCGGGCTTTAAAAGAATGAAAAAAATATAATCCCCTCGTATAATAGGAAAGATACTTTGCCTCTTTGAAACTACTTCCCATGTATCCTTCACCAGCACTGGTCACTGCTTTATAAAAAGCCACAACAAAACATTTATTATCTCATGCAGCATGTCCCTGTTCTTATTTTTTCAGCAAAATTCTGCATTTCATGGGGCTTTCCATATTCACTTTTCACAGGGCTTACTGCTTATGAAGAACTGCCAAGAAACGTGCTTAGGCTTTTCTGTAGCCTTCCACACGTCTCAGAACGAAGCCAAGGCAACAATAGAGCAATAAAAAAGACTTTAACACACAGTTTAATAATCATCTTTCTTTTTTTTTTTTTTTTTTCCATTCTGAGATGTCAAGAGAGTTATTCATTTCATGCCACATCAGACTTTTAAAACTAGGATCCAAGTTGCACTATTCTCCTTAATGACTAAAAGAGAGATTTGGATGGTAGTAGTATTTAAGCAAAACTACAGTTCCGAAAAGAGCACCTAATCCACCAATTTGCAACTGATGAGTTCTATGATTTTCTTTTGTTTCCCACATCAGCTGGATTATCCTTTGTCCTGTCATTCTTGATACTCAAGAAATAACTGATAAAGCAACTTAGAAAATATTCTCACTATCATTTGAGAAAACCTTATGGTGGGCCTAGAGGACTAAAAGCAAAAATACTGTTGAGAATTTCACAATATTTCTCGAGAAAAGGAAAGAACTTGCAGTGAAGGAATGATGGAGAAAACCTGGCCTTTATCCACAAAGCAAACTTTTCCAGCTTGCACAGCGAGATGATATGTATTTGAGTGGTTATGTTGCAATTTTCTGAACTTTGCCAGGTGAATCGAAATAGAACTCTTCCCTTTACTGGTAATAAAAAACACTGAACTGTTATTCTCATAAGAGATTACTCATTTGATATCTAATAACTTATATCGGAAGAAATGTTTTTTGCATTTTTCTATTCCCCTTCTCTCTTTTTAGTTATTAAAAAGAAGTCAGTGCCAAGTGGAAATTTCAGGAGAACAGAGAACCTAAAAATGGTTGGGTGGACCAGACACAGGATGTCCCTCCAGTAAACTGTAAAGGCACTGCCAAGAAAACAACAAGTCAGGAACGTTGTTGATATTTGATGAAAAAGATTTGAGGCTCATCTTAGAAAATAAAAATTGGACTTTTTACTTCCAAACTGTTTAAACTTGCAATGAGGAAAAGAGAAAGGCTGTCAAAATCCAGCAGTAGCAAATGCATTCAGCTGCCATGTTAAACACCAATACTGTGTTAAACACAAAATAAATTACCTGGAATCCACTATAACAGAATTCTCTGCACGGATAATGAATGGAACTCGCTCGGGCTTGATGAATGCTGCCCAAAATACTTAGCTGGCAAAAAACTAACAGCGAATTTATGCTTTTTATTCTGTACTAATGCTTTGAAAACTCATTTCCGAGTGTTCAGATACGAAGTTTTGGCCTATTAAACAGTAGCTACAAGTTAGCCTCAACATTCAATGTCCCAAGAAAATGGCTTGCTGTTCAGAACTGAGGAGCAATTGCCTCTCAAGATAAAACAAGGTGATAACTGATTAAATAGGAAGGTCTGGCTAGAGAACTAACAATACTTTCTCCAGTTAATCAAGTCC